GTAGAGATCCGTGTTGTGTGGTGTGTGGAGTGTGTTGTTGTGTCTGCTACTTCTGTTTTGAGGTGTGGGCGTGGCTTCTCGTGGGGGTAACCAGAGATCGGTAAGCGACAACAGCTGATAAGAAGAACGAACTGCGTTGTCTTAGGAAAATCCTCAACAAAACTGACATTTGAAGCCCCCACTCTCACAGAGACGATGGGCGAAATGTTTTGGCGGCAGGCAGGCCGAGTCACGTCACAAAACCTTCCGGAATTGTGACTGACTTAACTGCCTCTTTTCCTCTTGGTTGCATCTCTTACGCAGTGCAGTTGCGACCCTTCTTATCAGCGCTGCGGAGGACTGAGGCCGCTGACCGGCGCATGCATGACAGGGAACTACAGCCCCCGTCTGATCTGCCGCCCTCCCACACAAGGAGTGCGACTTGTCAGCTGCAGGACTCTAGATCCTTTGAGTCACGTCGGATCAGCGGGAAGTCTGCACTTCCGACCTCTGCCACTGGATGGTAACTTGTAGGATGAAGAAACAGTGCATCGGGTCCCGGTCATGAAGGTCGCTATGGATTATTCTACCTATCTATTTTCTTCTGCACTAATGAAACCGTCACCTCTCATGATTAAAAAAAAGTTTCTCCTCATAGTAGTAGCCTGCTACAAAACACCTCTACAATAGTTCAGGAAATATCCCACATTCACAAGAAGTAATAACTTCGCATTTGTTTAGTTTCATTCGTTTAAAACAACAATACAAAGATACAGATCAAAGCCAATATAAATCTATCAATATATTAACACAAAGAGACCATCTTCGCGACCGGGATCTCCAGCACAATTCCTCTATGTATAACATTTATCACATGTACATGTACAGCAGCGTAGAAAAAATCTGAAATTCACGTTCCATTTAGATTCTCTGCATAAATCACTACAGCCAGTTTGCATAACAAGCAATCCTGAAAACCTTTTTTTTACTTCTGTTTTTTTTGCCTTATTGCTTCTGCAACAAAATAAGACTTAGTAAGGCGTGTTTGCAGAGCAGAGCCACCGTTTGCTGTGGGGCTCAACAAAGATTGAACAGGACCTAACTGGTAACAGATCAGAGATAAGAAACGTCAACAGTGGATTACCTCTCTGATTCAGAACAAAGAAGTATGAAAGAAGACGCAGGTGGCGCTGCAAGTCCCGTCCGCCCGCTCCGAGCAGGACTTATTCCCTTCTTGCAACAAGAAGGAAGACCTGGAGGCCATAGGCGGATGGGAGGGACTTGCCAGGACCAAACCTTTACTTCTAAGCTACTTTTAAGATGGCGGTTTGGATTCTACTTTCCTGCTCATCACAAGAACGAAAATGGGAAGTCGAAGGCCTGTTACGTACGTCACTATGTAATATTTTGATTATTTTGTCGCACGTCAGCAGGGAATAGGCTATGAAAGTGTTGTATTGCATCTTCATACTTTTGACACAGCGGGAGGGCTCATGATATGTGTATGGGTGTAGAGATCCGTGTTGTGTGGTGTGTGGAGTGTGTTGTTGTGTCTGCTACTTCTGTTTTGAGGTGTGGGCGTGGCTTCTCGTGGGGGTAACCAGAGATCGGTAAGCGACAACAGCTGATAAGAAGAACGAACTGCGTTGTCTTAGGAAAATCCTCAACAAAACTGACATTTGAAGCCCCCACTCTCACAGAGACGATGGGCGAAATGTTTTGGCGGCAGGCAGGCCGAGTCACGTCACAAAACCTTCCGGAATTGTGACTGGCTTAACTGCCTCTTTTCCTCTTGGTTGCATCTCTTACGCAGTGCAGTTGCGACCCTTCTTATCAGCGCTGCGGAGGACTGAGGCCGCTGACCGGCGCATGCATGACAGGGAACTACAGCCCCCGTCTGATCTGCCGCCCTCCCACACAAGGAGTGCGACTTGTCAGCTGCAGGACTCTAGATCCTTTGAGTCACGTCGGATCAGCGGGAAGTCTGCACTTCCGACCTCTGCCACTGGATGGTAACTTGTAGGATGAAGAAACAGTGCATCGGGTCCCGGTCATGAAGGTCGCTATGGATTATTCTACCTATCTATTTTCTTCTGCACTAATGAAACCGTCACCTCTCATGATTAAAAAAAAGTTTCTCCTCATAGTAGTAGCCTGCTACAAAACACCTCTACAATAGTTCAGGAAATATCCCACATTCACAAGAAGTAATAACTTCGCATTTGTTTAGTTTCATTCGTTTAAAACAACAATACAAAGATACAGATCAAAGCCAATATAAATCTATCAATATATTAACACAAAGAGACCATCTTCGCGACCGGGATCTCCAGCACAATTCCTCTATGTATAACATTTATCACATGTACATGTACAGCAGCGTAGAAAAATCTGAAATTCACGTTCCATTTAGATTCTCTGCATAAATCACTACAGCCAGTTTGCATAACAAGCAATCCTGAAAACCTTTTTTTTACTTCTGTTTTTTTGCCTTATTGCTTCTGCAACAAAATAAGACTTAGTAAGGCGTGTTTGCAGAGCAGAGCCACCGTTTGCTGTGGGGCTCAACAAAGATTGAACAGGACCTAACTGGTAACAGATCAGAGATAAGAAACGTCAACAGTGGATTACCTCTCTGATTCAGAACAAAGAAGTATGAAAGAAGACGCAGGTGGCGCTGCAAGTCCCGTCCGCCCGCTCCGAGCAGGACTTATTCCCTTCTTGCAACAAGAAGGAAGACCTGGAGGCCATAGGCGGATGGGAGGGACTTGCCAGGACCAAACCTCGCCTAAGTCATGATATATGGAAATCCAACGGTGCATAAACCCCAAATATTTCCCCTTTACTGATAGGAAAACCCCAGGACGGCGCATACGACCTGCTCTCAGGCACCATGTCTCTTTGTGGCTTGGAATCGTTTCCCCCTCTCGCCTGTGGTCGGTCAAACCCTCCCCTGTGAGCAGACAAGCTAGGTGTCTCTTGAGTCTTTCATGTTTACAATGGGACAGCAGGCCTTTCAAGGCACTGGTGCTGAGAGGAGGCTGTAGCGCCAATGTTATGCATTATCAATTCGGCCAGAGCAGAAGGCAGGGAAAACACAAGTGGACACAAAATATACAAAAAGTATTTGATAATGATAGGAAGAAATACAAGAATGAATAGTATACAGTGATTTCATAAACATTTCAGAAAGCAGCACGATTATCATGCAGTAGATGACACCTGGTCTATATTACATATCACATTTCATTATGTATCTAGTGGGTATGTCTTCTTTATTTCCCAGTATGGTTCAATCATGCCATGATACTGCATGACCAGCAGTTCCCCAGGCAGGCGGAGTCAGGGTAGAGCCGGTGAGAAGGGGAATAATCAATACATAAGGTGTTCGCACTCCAGATAATAGTGTTGCAAAAGTGGGTTCTGGGACAACGAGGAACCCACCCCCTGACCCCACCTACCACAGAGCCTGGCAGGAGTGGGGCAGTCGGCTCAGTGTGCTGCCACTTGTAGCTGTTGGTGTTGTTGTTGTTGTTGTAGAAGTCATATTGGTTGAAGACGCAAGGGTTGTTGGGTGGCTTCTCGTTTCGACTTGCAACTATTTGGTTATCTTGTGTTGTTATTTTTTTTCTGTTTCCATTTTCTTCATTCTAGCTCAGTTTGGTGAGCATATTCACAATAAACTAAACTGAACACTAATATCTCTTTTCTAAGATGATTTCACAAACGCTTTTATCTACTTTTCAAACACTTCATTACATATTTTTATGGCCTTTCAGAGCACACGTATTCTACACTTGTGGACATCTGCTGACATACCCCAACACCCTCTCACTGGTCAGTGGTACATTTCGAAAAAGATAAAAAGCCATGATTGAAGAGATGAAAACTTATTAAGCTCTTGGCATTTGTAAGGCAATGACAGCACATAGGCCACCAGAGGGCAGCGCTGGGAGAGTCCTGGAGGAGGGGGCCCCGGCTCGCGTGCGCATCACGTCTAGCAGCGGCAGCAGCAGCACCGTGGCAGGCAGAGCGAAGCCTTACCCACCACGGCTGCGCAACTGTCAACGTTTATGTAGAGATACTTAAGTGCAGCACACCTTTCTTATGATGAGGACTCGAGAGAATATGCATGAGTAGACATGAACGACACTCTGGTGAATATTAACACTCAAGCATTGACCAGTGAACTCTCACTGATTATAATAAGGGCCACAATGGGCCATAAGTTCTCAAGGTTTCCATATGTAGGAACAAGGAATATTTATAAACAAGGATTATACAGCTTCGCACACTGTGGATCAAAACAGGATTATGTAAACATCAGAAAATGTGGAATGGCATACCATACAAACTAGGATATGATCACAGGGGTCGCCGTGGCTCAGCAGAATGGGGGAAAACCCTCCAAACCCCGATTGTGGTGGGCCACCAGTGGACACGGACACCACAACACATCCTGGGTGGCCACATTCTGGTGGGCCACAGTGGACCTGGCCGTGGGTGCACATGTATAAATGTATTCCCGGATTTCCATTGGACATGGTCACAGCGAGATTGTGAATTAACATGTGCTGATAACATGAATAATGAAGAGCAAGAAGTGGACCTGCGTTCCACCAAAAGACGTGGCCACCACAAGATTTCAGTAACTTTGATGTTGGGATGACCTCGCTCACGTGAGAACTCTCCATTGGAGGTGTAGCTCGAGTGCAACAAGCTAGAAGCCTACAGTGTCCTCTCTAGCTGTGCTAATGCTGCAACCCCGCTACTAAGGTGGTGGTGGTGCCGGCCACACGTGACATCATAGAGTCACGTGACCACGCAAGGCCCTGGACCTAAGAGGGCCGAGCAACACGGCGCTTCACGGACATAGCGCCAACAATTTTGATTTGCAAAATGCATTTTTCTCTTTACAACATTTTGACAGCTTTTTTCAACTTGCTAGACGAGAACTTTGTTCACAATGATGCATGTCAGAAAACTTTTATCAACTTTACATAACTAAGTAAAAAACTATAACACTCAATATTTTATTCAAACTCTTCTCTAAACAAGTCGCATGTAAACACATGTCTGGACCTAAGTCTTGCTGAACAACTATCCCTGGCTAGACGGTGCTTGTGAAAACGTGGTTGTCCTCTGTGCCAGAAGTTTTTGATACTCTGGTTATACATGAAATTATGAGTGCTTAGAAGAGGAAATTATCATCTATAACTTCTTATTCCATAATACTTAAAAACAAAATTTTACATTATGAAAACACAATGAAGAGCATAAGACAGCAAGAGAAAAGGTGAAAGAAGTAATAACACCACTTTTGCTATCTAAAAAGTTTTGCACAGAGTACAGAAAGATAATACATCATCAACAAGATCTGCTAAAAAAAATTAGCATTCTATTGTAGCATCCTCACTCTCAGACTAACCCACACGTCCCTGCCACCCAGCTCGTTCCTCATCAGATACTCACTTCCGTTGAGATCCATGAGTTACCAGGCGTGTGGCAGGCGTCCAGGACAGTCTGAAGGACCCTGAATACATGAGCACTTGCTGCAGGTGAGACTTGACAGGATCGGCTTTAAAAAGCCGGTGTGTCTGTGAGCCGGGCATGTGCAGGCTGACAACGGAACACTAAACTCGGGTCTGACAATGGAGCTACGCCCTACCACCTGGGGCACTAGCGAGTGAGTCAAGGTAGCAACTTGCATAGCTGGAACATTCTATTTCAACTGTGAATTTTTCCCTATCTCAAAAGTCCGCGATCCCACACAAAAGTCAAGAATAATACACAAAAAATACTCATTCAGGACATCGATATACATATAATTCAAAGATGCCAAAGACTGAAGATAAAATGAGGTGTTTTTGTTAGTTCATTCCTGCAACCAAAAGAAGTATACACAGAACAGCTCGAACATATATGAACTTAGGGTGACAAAGCACACATGGGGCCACCTGCTCATGATGCGAGGTGTCTGTCTGGCACCTCTTCTTGTGCTGGGACCTTACGGAACACAACAGACCAAAAACCCACTAGAAGATATACGGGGAGGATGTGGGGTGGCTACAATGGGGCGTGGATAGTACTGGGGGAGGGAGTGGGGGGGAAGGAAGCAGAGGAAGTGAGAAGGAAGGTAGAGAGGAAGAGCAGGAGATCTGGGGAGGGAAATACTGTACTGGGGAGGACGGCTGAGGCACAGCACGTGGCCGCTACCATTCGCTGCTGCACTCACGGGCGGGCACAGGTGGCGGGCGGTGGGTGGCAGCGTGTGATGAGCGGGTGGTGTGTGGTGGTGTTGGTGTGGTGTGGGTGCAGCGCTGGACTCTTTCAGATGTAGGAGTATGGTCCGTCAGTGAGGGCGCTACAGAGGAGGAGTCAGGAGTTGTCATCCTTGGCCATGTCTCCCCGGTTAGGCTTGTACTCCAGGCCTGGGTCGAACTGCATCAGAACGAAGACCTGGTCGGTGGGCAGCAACTTGAAGTCATCTGGTGGGTTGGTTATCACATACCGCTTGGACGACGCGTCACACGAGCTTGAGGTGTCGCGGAATCTGCAGTCCAAACCAACGCCAGATTGAGGACTCATACGGAGTGTTCTGTAAATCAATTTCATATCTCACGAGCATAACGAAAATAATATTTCAAAAAAGACAAGAGTTTCCCGATCCTCGTAAAATAATTTACAAGCTTGCCCAACGGCCATGCTACTGTACAAGAAGTGCAGAAATGATCCATAAGCCGTGATTTAAAGCAGGTTTACATACTTTACAAAGCCTACTTACGTAGTTTTGAATAAATTATGATAGGTATTTAACAAGCCAGGTGCATACACACTCTTTTGAGATACATTACAATTGCTTACTTTAACAAACCAGGTACTGGTGATGCAGAAGGCGCTCTTTTTTTACTTAAGAGGTCCGCTCTTATATTTATGAAATACAATAGAAGGGTGAACAAGTGCATTAAAGCTGATCATAATACAAGAGGGGGGGGAGAGGGGGGGTTGGGAAGGTACTTTGTGTCAAAGGGCTGTAGTAGTGTAGCCATGGGTCACGTGGGCTGTGTACCATCGCCTACAGGCTCTGCATCCCCCGGGCCAAGACCGGCCCAGGGGGTACACGTCCTACACAGGGTGTTGGTACAGTGGCTCAGGCTTTGGCTCCATTACTCGTCACACTTGAGGAAAGAGTGGCAATCACTTGACGGCTTGGAGCCTCAGACATACACGAGGATCTGTGGACACAAAGTCTGTGAGGTGCAGACGGAGGTGCAGGTGCTGCCCTACTCACCTGTAGAGACCAATACATAGCATGCCATAGTTCCTCAGGGCCGCGCAGAAGAGGTCTCCGTAAATCCCGCTTTCCCCGAACTGGCCAAGAGGACCGTCGTAGAGGGAGATCTGCCCCACTTGACAGCGGTCGCGGTTGGCAAGTGTCTCGGGCGTGCTGGTGGGAGAACACGTTCACCAGAATTCCTCTCCGATAAAGAAACTCCTTAAGATCATTAGCATGTTCTTTAC